CGCCTTTGATAATGTCCACCGCAGTTGTGGACGAAACGTCGGGAAGAAATTCCCATAGACCACGGCTTCAAAGCCCGGAAAACATTCCTAAATGTGATTTAACCGGCCGCGAAAGCCTTCATAGTCTGATAAATCCATATTGAGTTCAGGCAGGCAAACATCGGGATGCAATCTGTTTTTGCTTCGAGGGTTCGTTGAAAGCGATGCAAAAGTCGAATTATTTCTTGCAAACTTCCAAAAACTCAACATTTGCATCGACAACGGTTCGACTGCATTCGATGCAGTTTGCACTTTAACCACTCTCTGGACGCGGCAAATCGATAAGCGGCCGGAGGTGTTGAATAGTTTTCCACCCCGTTCGAATGGCGCTAATGAAGGCGAACCTTAACCTTGTGACCCAAGTCGGCCTTGGAACCCAACTGACAACTAACCTAGTGGCAACGTAGTTGTAGGCGGGTTGTTGTGGCTGCGGATGGAACCAGTGCTGCTGATTGGCCATACTGTCGCTAATCAGCATGTTGCAGTTAGCGACGTCACTTGCAGATGGTACCGCGGGCGTGTGGAGCTGCGGAACCATCCCATAAGGGTGGTAGGCGGGCGGGTACTGATTGTTCATTTGGTACTCTGGATGGCCATTCGGAACATACCCGTTTGAGCCGCCCTGCCCTATCGGCTGGCCATCCAGGGGGGGCATTTTTTTCACCATTCGGCACCGCGGGTACTACGCGACAGCCACTGGCAACGTCGCGCTACTGCATGCAAAAATATTCAGAGAATCACCGCAAAAAAATATGTCGTCGCCCGATCGAAAGTTGCTGGCAAAATAATTGCCGCCGTATCACAGCACACTGAGAAGAAAAAACAACCTGCCTGGTGATAGCCGCTCGGAGCGAAACGTCGCGCTGTGTGTGCGCGCCCGGCTTTAATACATAACCTGTCCGCGGTTCAACCTGTACTGAATTGCGCGGTTGCCGATGGGATGGGAAGTGCATCCAGCGCAGATCGCGCACTGTTGCCAACCAGCCAACGATTGCCGGGTTTCGCCTCCACGATGCGCCACATCTCATCACGAGTGTCTGGAATGCAATTTAGGCGTTTCCAGATTCGGAACGGCAACCATGGCTGCAGTCGGTTGCTTACGCGCACCAGCTTAAAGCAACCACTCTTCTATTTCTACAAGTTATTTGTTTTTTGCCTATAAGTCATTGTAGACTGGATGCAACGGAAACTGAGAGAAGAGTGAGGATTCAGCCAGTCTTTGCTAGAGAAACGCATTGTTTGCAAACTGCGGCGGACCAACTGGAAAACTTCGATAACTCCTAAACCAGATCCGGCAGCGCCTTGACATGTTGACACAGCGCGGTTGAAATACAGGGTGTTATTGCAGTACAGAAAAAATTGTAAAATAAATTAATTGCTATTAAAAACTGAGAAATTGACAATAAACTATATCAGAAATACGGCAGCAATGTTTTTCAAGGTAATCGGCCTAATTAACATTGCGCAAATACCTGTGGCTTCGTAATTATTTAAAACTCCGGTAACCATGGAATTATTGAGACTGACAATAAGATAGACAAGATAAGTTCTATATTGTTGAGGCGGATTCATTTTTTTACAAACTTCTTTTTGGGTATTTCGCCTCAAAAATTTTTGTCTTTAAAAAAGACACAATTTCCTCACGTC